ACCCCGTCACCCCACGCCACCTGCTGCTCAGTTGTTTGGTCAGCCCTCACTAATGCCCCTGCCGGCCTGGTCATCCCACACAGCCTGTTCAGTTGTCCGTTTGGTTGTTTCAGTTGCGACGGTCACTTAGGCTTTTATATATATAGGTATCCAAATATTATATAGAATGTACTTGCACTAAAAATTCTTTGTTGTTACTCAGCAATTTAAATATAACAACATCTTATGTTTTTATTTGCTAAACCTAGTAACCCTTGCAGAATTTATATTTGCAATAAAACTGTTCATTTTCCCACCCCTGGCATGTTCCCTACATTTGTGGAATGGAGTCAGGTGAGTGTATATGTGACTCTGTACCTGTGATGGCTACCTGTTTGGAGAGGTGGCCTTGATGGAAAGGAGGAAACTTTGCCGTCTATTGGTTGGTATCTGCTTCATTGTTTTGAGCAAAGTTGGATCTGCTAAGCCAGCTCTCTGCTAAGCTTCCAAAAGTGGGGAGAAGATGGTCCTGCAAGGACTTCAAGATATGCCTCTCTCTTTTCTGTTTTTTTGCCACTCGAGAAGCCATGAGCAGCAAAGTCTCCCAGGACACTCTGTAGGAGGTGGTGCGTGGGGTTCTGCATGGGAACCACCGCAAGCATGAGAAGTTTTTGGAGAGAGTGGAGCTGCAGATCAGCTTGAAGTATCATGACCCTCAGAAGGACAAATGCTTCTTGGGCACTGCCAGGCTTAAATCCACTCCCGCCTCAAGTTCTCCATGTGTTCTGGGGACCAGTAGCACTGTGATGAGGCCAAGGCTGTGAATAACCTACCATGGTTTCCAAGAAGCTGGGCAGGAAGTATGATGCCTTTTTGGCTTCAGAGTCTCTCATCAAGCAGATCTTAGTAATCACAGGCCCAGGCCTGAATAAGGCTGGCAAGTTCCCTTCCTGTTGACCCCCAGTGAGAACATGGTAGCCAAAGTCCACAAAGTGAAATCTACGATCAAATTCGAGATGAAGAGGTTGCTTTGTCTGCCAGTGGCTATTGGCCATGTGAAGATGACGGATGATGAGCTTGTGTACAACATCCTCATAGCATCCTTTTAGCATAGTCAGTGTCTTTGCTAAAAAAGAACTGGCAGAAAATCTGGCCTTTATACATCAAGAGCACCATGGCAAGCCCCTTGCCTGTACTAAGGCACAGCTGAATAAACCATATTGCTATCATTTAAAAAAAGATATATGCCTCTCATAATTTTAGGAAGCATACTTAGGTGCAGCTTATCTCTTCTTAACAGAACAATAATGAGGTTGTTTTCAGATATGTGAGAATGTTTAATACATGTTTGTCCTCAAAGATCCAGGTGTGAGTTAACTCTTATTAGCCCAACAAGTTGTCCTGTGCATAATTCCACCTTAAATAGTATTTGCCAAAGATCCACTGATGTTCAGTAGCTATGCCATTAAAAAGGGGCTATGATTGAAAAATGGGAAGCATCAAGGAATAGAGTTAAACAGACTTCTTTAATGAAGGCCTTCTCACAAATCCATTACATACAAATCAGTGATTGATCTATTCAAATTGGGGACAAGGGGTGTGCCATTTTCCATGTTCTCCTGTAACCCTTTAACTGTAGATAATTCATGGGATTAATGTTCCATAAAACAAACTTGGGGAAACATTCCTCACATATATGCCCTACGTAAAGAAACTTCTACCTCCAGACACACTCTTTTTATACTTCCATTTAGTTATACTAATTTTTCCATTTAGTTATACCAGTGTCT